TATTATTAGAAAGTCATGCCATGCTTGAAGAATACGTAATTATGTTTTTTTCTTTTGGAATATATAATTGACCTTCAAAATAGAGTAGGTTGTTTTTGAAATCAAACTTAGAAGTATCTTAGAACTTAGAAGAAAAAGTCTCAATATTGTGAACAAGAGGATCAAAAGACATAGTTGATTGGATTTGTTTCACAAGGATCAAATCAACAGTCAACATTGATTTCATTACTCAAAGATGAAAATGCTCTAGCTTCAAGAGAATTATTCTTCGTTGTTTAAAAGATGCATTCCTTTCTTTTGGTGCAAGATAAGAACATCTAGAAAGAGCATCTAACAAACCTTATTATTTTTTGGGTTGATATGTGATCTTGAAATCAAATCTTGATAAGGACATGCTTCAACGGACTTGGCAACGACTTAAAACATGTGCTGATATGAAGTACTCGAGATTCTTGTAATCCATATATATGATGATTGGATTAGAAGTGCCTTCTAGATGATGACGCCATTCTTGAAATGAATCCACAATTGCAAGAAGCTCTTTGTCGTGGATTTCATAGTTAATCTTGGCTGTTGAAAATTTTTTGAAATAAAAAGCTACTAGGTGAAGTTTATCATCTACTCCCATTTGTTATAATACAACACCCAAAGCAATGTCTGATGCATCTATTTCCATAAAAAATACCTCAAAAAATTTGACATGATACAAGATTGGAGCAGAAATAAAGGTTGACTTCAAATTTTCAAAAGATGCTTCAGCTTCTTTACTCCACTCAACTTTGGCTTTGCAAGTTAAACATGTAAGTGGAGCTACAACTCTAGAGAAGTCTCTGATGAAGATCCGATAATAGTTGACAAAGTCTAAAAAGCATTGAACATCTCTTACCATTTTTTGAATCTTCCAATTCATAATTGTTTGAACTTTCTTCGGATCCATCATAAGTCCATCATTTGAATTGATGTATCCTAAGAATTCGACTTGAGTAGTATAGAATACATACTTTTTTTATCTTAGCATAGAGTCCCGTATCTCTTAATTTTTGTAATACACGATGAACATGAAGTTTATGTTCATGTGTATTCTTAGAATAGATCAAGATACCATCCATATAACAAACAACAAAGTCGTCTAAAAACTCTCAAAAAATATCATTCATTAAATGTTGAAAAGGTGCCAATGCATTTATAAGTCCAAAAGGCATGATGTTGTATTCAAAATGTCCAAACCTAGTTCAAAATACATTCTTCCATTCATCTCCTTTTTTAATACTTACTAGATTGTATGCTTCCCATAGATCTATTTTTGTGTAGATCTTAGCTTAATTCAATTGATTGAAAAGTCCAGATATCAAAGGTAGAAGGTACCTATTTTTGATGGTGGTCTTGTTGAGTTCTCAATAATCAACACAAATCTCCAATGATCCATCTTTCTTCTTCACAAATTAGATTGGAGCTCTTATTGGTGATTTGAAATAGCATATGAAATTCTTGGCCATATTTTCTTCAATATATTCCTTGAATTCAGCCAATTCATTTTGTGATAAACTATAGATTGGTCTAAATGGCGGTTGTGCTCCTTCTTAAATGTCAATTGAACAGTCATAGGGACAATGTTCTTGAAGAATATTTCTATTTTTCTTCTCAAATATATCTTGAAATTCTTGATATTGGCTCGGAATACTACTTGAAGTCTTTTTATCATTAAAAATAGGTGTGGCGTAAATGACACAAGGTGATCCTTCTTTTTCAGCATGCAAGAAAGCTCTTACATCTACAAATATAGGTTTAATTGCACTAGACTTATGACTTTCTATTGGATTAATTTTACTCTTAATTATGCTTTTAGAGAAGTCAAGGATACGAGAAATCCAATCTATAGAAGGATTATACTTTTCTAACCATGATAAACCTAAAATAATTGGATTAAAGAGAGATCTAATTATATTAAAGATTATGCAACTATTATAACCATTTATTGCTACATCTATAAGAAGTATTTTATGAATAATATCTCTAGAAGACAATGGACAACCATCCATGACTTCTACATGAACAAATTGGATTTTTTGTACTAACGATATTTTATGACTTTTAACAAATTCTACATCTAAGAAACAAGCTAAGGTACCTAAATCTATCAAGGTGGAGGCTTTATATTTATTAGGTCCTAAAGGCACATCTATTATAAAACAAGGAGAGGGTTCTGAGGAGAAGATAGGACCTTCATTAAAAATTGTATAAGATTCCAGTCACACAATGCCTATTGTAGCTAGACAAATTTCTCAATACATTGTCTTCTTTGACAGATGTGCTCATCATTTTTTGATTTTGTCCCTTCTTTGGACAATGTTGAGTAGTGTGTTTAGATTCTCCATAATATAAGCACAATCCTTTTTCACGGCGACAAGTCTTTTCTTGCTTGATAAGATGTTTAAAATATATCACATTAATTTGTATATTCTCTCCTTCTGAATGTATGTATTGAGGAGATGTCGGTGTTGCCATCATATCATAGTAATGTTGAGGCCTATTTGTACGACTCTCATATCAAAATTCAAAAAGTTGATTGTCACATTTCAGAGCAAAGTTAATTACATGACTCAATGTTTGAGGATCAGGTAAGTTGAGCATCAATTTCTTTACTTCATATTGTAATCCATAGAGAAATTAGTTAATAAGTGCAGCATCATCTTACTTGATATTAATTATAAGTTGTCAAAACTGTGAAGCATATAACGTTACAAATCGATTCCTTTATTGTAAAATATGAATCTTATTAGTTACAACACAAGTTGTATCGTGTTCTCTACACATAGACCAAAATTTTGCAAAAAATGCTTCCATATTTTCAATATTAGATGTCATCATTCAAAAAAAGATGAAAACCACGATAGTGTTGAACGTCAAAGAAGTGTACCAATGAATCTAACTTGTAATCCTAGAGTTGGATAGCTTTGAATTTGAAGTTCAATCACAAGTTGTATTTGATTGATAAATCCTCAAAATTTCAATCTTATACTATCAAACTTCTCGGATATGATAACTCTTGCTTCTCTAATACTTGAACAATGTTCCACCATAGGTGCAGGGACATGATTTTGTGCAGATATTGAAGCAGCTCTAATCATCTCTATATCCTCACTTCTTGCCATTCTTGTTGATTCTTGTAGTGGTAAGCTAAGTTGATAAATTGCAAGCAACAACTCCCTCAATTACGCTTGTATTTGTGCCATTGCACTCTTCATTTCAAGAAGCTTTGTCATAATAACACTCAAAAAAATATCTAATACTACTCAAGATAAGTAAAAAAAAGGACTTAAGGACAAAAAAAAAAAATACTAGGAACAATATCAGTTTAGAAGAGGGTAATCTATAACTTCTAATACACTTATGTCTTATCATGAGAAAGGGGTAATCCACTCTTAATCAAGACAAGACAAAGCTCTAATACTGTAAGTATACTCTTGTCAATCTGTCAAGGACATGAACTAAAAGATGATACATAAATCAATGAAATCCATATTAAAGAAAGAATGACAAAATAGAAATAAAAAAGTATGTATATTAAAAGAAACTAGAAAGGCTTATTGCCAAAAGACAAGAAAACTTGAGACTCTTGAAACTAAAATAGAAACAAGAAAGAAGTTGACAAGAGTGAAGAGGACTTCATTCTTATCTCTATATATACTATATAATTAGGGGCTACATGGCAATGTCTTATACGACCTTCAATATGTGTCGACTTTGTAGGACATATGCCTTGACTTACAAGGCAAGTTTTTCTTTGTGTGGGCCACATAGTTAGCTTGGTCTTCAAGCTAACAATATGTGTGGCGCATGGCCAACTTGTTGACTACATTTCTAACCCAAAAAGTCATTTAAAGACACCTATAAAGTCAAAGCAGCGTCTATGAAGCTTCTAGAAAGCTTCTATAGAAAATATTATAGAATTAACTTGCTTTTATTTACTTCTACTTACTTCTACCTATTTATATAGGTAATTACTGGCTTATATGCATATGTCCGTGACATTTTTTGTTGCAAAATTTCACAATAACAAAAATTTCTTTACAAAGAATAATTAACTTTATATTATCTATTCAAGAGTTTAAAAGATGTACAAGTTCTAGTAACAAATATCTTAATGTTCCAAGTAAAATAATAGTAGTACAAGAGTGTCAATAAATGTTTAACATTACATAGCCTATAACATGTATAATTCCTCTATTGTAAATACTCTCTACATAAATTAAATATATATATATATACTTGTTTCTATTATATATTATAAAACTATTATTAAATTTAATATTTTTTTTATAAGACTATTATGAAATAATTCATTTTATTGTAAGTATTATATTTTTTATTTTAAAAATTTATCAAATATTCATCATAATACATTCAATTTAATCAAATAATAACATTTAATTACTAGGATTTTTCTTGTAAAAATTTTAGAAGATTGTTATTTACTATTTGAACTTATTTTATTATTAAAAATAATATAAACATATATTATAGAATCAAATAAGATATGAGGTTTTAATAGTTAATCAAAGTAATGAAATAAAATTAAAAATAAAAACTTATAACAATATTCAAAGTAATAATTTATTTTTACCAAATTCAATCACATTTAATATTTAATCAATGAATTATCTATAACTTGACATTTTTTCTGAGATTTATAATTTTTCTTTTTCTTTTCTTTTTTTTCTTTTGTCATTTACTACACTGTAACAATTTGAGACAATACATTTATAACCTTGCATCCTAAAATCAAAACAAAGGTTAGCATTATTTTACAATGACATTGGGCAACTTGGATAGTTTTAATCCAAGACATAAATGCACTGGACAAAAGGTACATCATGTGACAAAAGGAAAACATGTTATAAAACTATTTCAATCAAATATGTTTTCATTAAATGATTAAAGGGAGACGGTCACAAAAGCATTTCCGATTGATTAGTGGGACATCATTATCTTTTCATCACTCACCTCAGAACTTTTCCTTCATTTAATCACGTGTAGTGTAAGCCTCCAAATGCCAATTCTTGCCAATCATAATAATACACTTCTGTGAATGTAAATATGCTTTAATATGAAATCGCATATACCAAGTAAACCCAACCCTCATTGTAAGACTTCTATTATACCTGAGTTTAATCTACCTTTGATCGAACATCTCTAGGATGTATAAACAAGAGCAGCATGGAGACAGTCAGTCCAATGAGGTAGCCTCCTACTGCACCATACGTGCAACTGATGGGCCATTCCTGTCCATCGAAAAATCATAACATCAGTAATTTTACTTGAACGAGATGACGGGGAATGAAACCTGCAACACTAAGATGTTACAACGACTTTGTAAATTATGGATGAAGAAGCGGGTCCTCATAAGCATATCATGTAATCATACTTTCGTGTTGCAGACCATTGAGATTTTAGACCTAGTGTTCCAAAAGGAGGCTCCAAGCACACAGATTGTAGAGAAAAAACATGATCTGCATAATAATGAATAATTGATACCTGCCATGGGCGCTCCCAGTCCAGAGGCATTGGAAAAGCTCCGATCCAAGCACCTATTACAGCTCCGTGTGCTGGAATGCAAATTGCTCTTTCCATTCCTCCCCTTGGTCTACAGGAAGAACATCAGGTCAGAGTGTTGCCGCTATGCTCAAATGCCAACCCACTCATACCAATCAAAGTTGTTGAAGTTCCAAAAGGATATTTGAGCACATATAAGTTCCCTGCCTAAGAACAAAATACAAGGTTGATGGCAAAAAATACAAGCTGAGTGCAAGATACAAAAGAAGCTATTTAGTAAACCACGTTGAGTTGAGTACAAGAGGGTCATTAAGAAAGCAAAATTACGAACCCCAACGGAACCAGACAAGGTAATCTGCAGCATCTCTACTGATGAACTCACCCATACATTCAAGTAGGCGATAAATAACGTATTTTCATTGGAAAGTACCAACTAGCTACTACAGAACACTTGAAATGAACATGTTTTAGAGTATCCACAGAAGTTACGAACCATGGGATGGATGCAACACTTTACCCAAGGCACAAACGCTAATATGCAAAGAGTTGATGCGTATTACATTACCTAGTGAATGCAAATATCCGTTGCCAGTCTGGCCAAAAACTTCCAAGTACTATTGCAGCGGGTAGTGCCTGGTTGTTAAAACAGGTAAGAAACAATTGTAAGCACATATTAACACTAAGCCCTCCAATAATGTGACAGAGCTACAAAAAGAAGATCCTGCGTGATTTCAAGGACAAGTGCATGAAACATACCACAAGCACTGACATGAGACAGGCCCAATGAAACGTTCCAGATGCATACCTGCACTCCATATACTGTGAATTAGTTAAAACGATACAAAAGCTTCTCTACATGCACATAGAAGAATTTAACTTCTTGAAGAGTAAGTGAAGTAGCTTAGATGATGATTTCCTCACGAAAAGAGAAAAAGAAAAGTTGCACAAAACTAAGTGGTATTGCTCGGCGAAGGTTCACTGACACCAAGTCGAGTATGATGTGCCTCTTCGCCAGCAAAAAATTAACATAAACAAGAAACACATTCTTGCCCTAACCGCATCCCTCCAGGCTTGTTTTTGTTATCGATAAACGACATAGCAAAATTAGACAAATGCACAATTACAAGAAAGATAACTCACTGTAGAGAGGCTGGTGCACCAAATGCTAGAGCCAAAAGCGCAGCCAGTAACGCTCCTGCATATTATCACAAATTTGATCAGCACTTGATAAGAATACTCCAATCCCTTGACGATACAAGTTACTGCAAGCGTACATTAAACTCTAGCTTTGGCATCGCAGAGAAAATCACCTCACTAGCAGTTGATTTCAAAATCTAGAGAAGTATTCAAGAAGAGAACTATACTTCTTGAATTCTAATTCTACTCGTTAAATAATTATTACTTTATTCATTTCAGAAGTTCTGCAAAGAAGGTTCCAGAAACGACCTACAGGGAGGCTAATAAGGCCACCACCGATACACCGCCAGGCCTGCTCAAATCACAAAAAAAAATCGTTGGTGTTATTTTGAATAAAAAGAAGTGAAAGTTTATATCAAGTAAGCTCAATTTCAACTTGCCGTAAGTAAGCAGTAAGCGCTACTGCGAGGTATTTTTGAAATTAACATAAAAATAAAAATCAGATCAGAGAATGGCAACTATGCGCTTAAGTAACTTGGTAGGTCCATACGTATAAACGTGTACTTTACAATAGAGGAGCTTCTATCATCAGCAAAATTCATCAAGAACGTCATAGCTTCATGCCATATAGACTCAAAAAGTAGGTTGCAACTTGATGCAATTTTCAGAAACGCAAATCTCTACAGATGCATACATTTCATAACCACTAATGCAAGTAAATTATAAGGACTCTCCTGAGTGGAAAGCCACATACCGGTCTTGGACTTGAAGAGAAGACCATCATCAAAGAATGCGCTACGATCACTGTCGGCAAAGTCACAGCCTGCCGAATGATTTGACCGATCAACACATCTTAGCACATGAGGTACGCATACAGACCAAATCTTAAACCCTAAGCCTCTGGAAACACTAAAAGTCGAGCAATGCACTTGAATTAATATATCTAAACGAGTTTTTTGTTTTTTTATTATTATTATTTTTTTTATTTTTTTTGAGCTCCCTGGATAGTGACAAGATTTGATTATACATCAGAATAGAAAATTCGAGAAACCATACCAGGGAAAGCTGGATTGTCGCAACAGGATGTGCGACGAGGTTCATTCCGTAGTAATCCGGGAGAGCCTTCATCCCAACCACAACCGCCGCTCCACATAGTCCTTGCAGGAGAAAAAGCGCGATAGGACTAGGACCGTCTACAACACGGGGCAGGTCATTGCGAAGCTCCGCTGTCTGTTGATCCGCCATAGCTGCGAAGAATTGCAACAATCGCCAAACACAACACCAGCAATCAAACTGAACCAAGGAAGACGAGTTGCTCCGGATGTACATCGTTCATCCATTTCGGCAACAGACATCGAATTATTCTTCGGATGATTATGTTACGCAATGCTGCTTCCTCCGACCGTGTTGCACGGAACATCGTGATTGAGCTGAGGAACTCTGTTTCCGAGCTTTAATCGAAAGCTCGATTGATAACTTGTTGCACGAATTCTCTTGAACAATAGCAAGGGCGGAGATAGCACCAGGTTTAGGGTTACTTGGTCCCACCAGAATATTAACAAGGTTTGGATGTTTAATATGGGAATCAATAACGTGGAACACCAAGGTTGCACATCTTTGAAGCAAACTAGCCTCGTTAGGAGAAAGAAACAACAGAAGTGGATCAATTGTGATAAAAAGAGGTGCAGAAAATTAGAGAAGGTGTAGATGGTTAATATTTGACATTTGAAGGAGCAAGTGCAACATAATTTTTTTGTGTGGTGGTTTTGATTGACAAGAGACATTATTCAAACAATTCCACAAACAAAAGAAGTTAAAGAGATAACTACAACAAATAAATCAACTAAGGTAGCTAGAAATAGAGAAATGAATCACATAGAGTTTGTATTCAAAATATCTACTAAAAAAGTAGTTCTTAAAGTAACATTGTATAAGGTAAAATCTTACTTGAATATGTCTTAATATAAATTTTAAATCAATTATAATCAAATATAACAAATACTTATATTATTTACATAAATTGAAGTAAGTAGAAGTATGTAAAAACTTGATAAGTAGATAATATATTTTTTAAAAACTTGATAAGTAGATAATATATTTTTTAAAAACTTTGAAGAAGTTTCTTAAATGTTAATTAGATCTTTAGATTCTATGAACATGACATGTCATGTGCAAATAAAATCTTATTCTATGTTAAGAGATTTTTATTTTTATTCTAGTAATTTCTAGTCAAGATGTTGTGATAATTTGGTAAAAACTATTCTACATAAATATATAAGGTTTTAAAAATAAATATTTATATATACATAATTTAACAAAAATAAATTAACCTACCAATATTCAAATATATTTAATTTTAGGGAATCATTAGTACTACATCCTTAATTGATATTTCTATATCCTAATTAATACATGCAACAGTTGCAAGAGATAAAAGTATTAATAATGTCATTTTGGAGGTCTTCAAGGGCAAAGCCATTGAAAAGAAATTTATTTTTAATCCAAACAACTAGCTTCACTTCCATGACTTTTGTTGCCACATTGTGAATGATGCACTTTAGCAAGAAGGTGGAAACCTTCTTTACAAAAGAGACATAAGAAGGTGTTGGAATTGAATTTGGCATAGGAATCTTTGTTATGCATGAGTAGGAGCAAGTCCTACATAAGCCTCAACTACCAGGGTTGAGGCTATTACAAAAACAACAATATAAAAAAAAAAAAAAAAAAAAAAAAAAACTTAATCAAGTTTTAGGATTACAAAATCAACGGTGATGTAGACAAGGAGTAGCTATAAAAAAAGAGAAGCACAAGTTAATGTTGATCTTAGAGATGGTCACTCAACTATTTGTGAAGACAAAGATAGCTTGTATAATAAGATGCTCAAGCCTCCAATTGCAACAAATTCTACAATGTTGTTCTAATATCACAAAAAAAATAAAAATTAGGGAGATTTTGTCTTCAAAGATCCCTGCAAGAGAACTATTGCTTGATCTTGCCTGTTGATTGATTAGTAAGAGCATTATACAAGGATGTGTTGCCCCTTTTGATCCTTCATAGCTATTACTAGTATTAATTAGGGTGTAGAAATATCAACTAAAGATGTAGAATTAATAATTTTTTTATTTTAATGTATTCAAATTTTAGCAATATAAATTAGCCTTCTAATTAAATTTTTATACTACCAATATTTTAATATATTTTAATATATTTTAACATCAATTAATTAATTTTTTTATTTAATCAATTGAAATAATTAATATCTATTAAATTTAATAAAAAAATATTATTTTATTTAAATAAAAAAGTATATTAAAATTCATCATAAATTTATTAGACATATAATTTTAAAAGAAAATATTAAACTTTAATATATTTATATTTCTATTCAACAAAGTAATATTTCTACTAATTTTTAGACAAAAATAAAATTAAGATACATAAATTACATGTAAAAGTAAAAAATTTAATTTTAAAAATATTCCTAAAAAATTTAAATATAAATTTTATTTTTATTTTTATAAATGATGTTAGAAACATTATCCAATAAATCTTAGCCAATGTAAATGCATTTCTAGATGATACATTGGAAGAAATCATCTTTAAAAATATATATTTATATAATGTAAAAGTTTTGAATGATAGAATATTGTGAAATTTCAAATTTATTAGTAATTCTTAAAAAAAGACATGAGTTCAATCCATGGATTTATGGATAGAAGAGAAAAAAGAGACATGAATGAAATCCATAGGCTTAAGTGTAGAAGAGAATATGAAAAAATATATATATTATATATGACCCTCAAATATGCTGAAATATCAATAATACCTCTATATTCTTGAAATAGCAAATCTATTCCTCATTTTTGTGATCATAGCAAATCTACCCTTTAATGTGATAAGGTATTACCACTCATTTTTTTTTAGATGTATTTGGGATCCAAACCATATACCACACAGATTTTAACATGGCCCTTTTTGATACATTTACCTCCTTCTCTTTTGTTAATATCAATGTATTGTGCAGATTTTATTACACTATTTTTTGGTTTCTATATAATTTCAAAAGCCAAGTTCATCAATGAAACCGTTTTCTGTTGTGTTTTAGCTAAAAAGAAGGTGATACATCCAATTTGCAATTTTAGATTAGCTTCTATTATACAAAGATAATTAAGAAGTCACAAGGTGGTTAAGACAATTGATGATTACATTGTCAATGAATAAGTGATTTATCAAAGTCATTGTTTGACAAATTTATCAAATGGTATAGCATCTCATGAACATAAACTTTTGTATTATTGCATGCTAACCTTGATTTATAGAAATTATAGTTAAAGTTTTATTTTATGCATAACAATAACAAACATACATTGAGATGTTTGGTGATAACAAAACCAATTGTTCTTCTATGAATGCAAGCACTTTGTCTTGAGTTGCTTCTCTCAACTTAAAGCAATATTTTCAAGGGATCTAGGTAATAAAATAATTTCATAAGCAACCATACTTCAAAGAAGGTAATGGTGTAGGATTAACATTAGATAACTAAGTCATTGGTACTTATATGGGATCAATGTAGGCCATGAAATTCAACCTTAAATACATCTACGCTTGCCATGATGAATTAGTGAAGGATGTTTACCATAGACTTGAAATCATAGACCTTTATTATTAGTAATTACTTTCAACAGACTCTCACAATATATGAGTTATCTTACTACAACCTACCTTCAATCATTTATTTCAATTTTTTATCCATCATGATGAAATTTATGCTCCACACAAGCATCAAAATAAAATAAAAATGGTGAAATATGCCAAAAAGTGTTGCACCAAAATCTATGTGGCATATGGTTAGGGCCCCAAAAGCACCAAAAAAAGAAAGAGTAGTGATACCATATCACATTCAAAGGTAGATTTTCTATTATCAAGAATACAAGGATATTCTTGATATTTCAACATATTTGGGGGGCATATATGATATTTTTTCTGTAAAAAAGGTAGAAATAATTTGAATGTCATATCCTTGTTCATGGCATCATCCACACTAGAGAAAATTAAATTTGCTATCTTGTGGATACAAAAGTATAGAACTGATGTACAAAGCCTTACTAATAAATGTCAATTTCTTGGAGAAAACATATATTTATATAAGGAGGATTCAGCATATGAACCGCTGTCTGTCAAATGCTTAAGCACTTGTGCCCCCACAAATTTCAACTTGTGGGTGAAATTTTGCTATGTGGTTCTCATCCAGTGGTTAAGCCTAGGGACTTGTCTGCCAAAGCAGACGATTATTACTCATCCAAGTTCCGTTTAGTAAGGATTTCATCTCTAATGTATTTAGGGTTGTGCAAGAGTACGTAAACCCTTTTCTCACACTCTTCAATCATCCTGTTTTGGGTTACTTCTCTTTGTAAGTGAAACTCCAAGAAGATTCCTATAACCAAGAAAGGACTCCACTTGATAAAGAGAAGTGTTGCTCAAAAAGCATGACGGGAGTGCATCATGTATGCATATAAGAATTCATTGATTTCATTCACAAAAGTCCATTGATTGTGTATAACGTGTGATCCAACTTCATAAACAGCACCAAGAATTTTCACTGTCTTCACCTAAGAAGTCAGATTACCATTTTAATCCAACATACTAATCTACCTGTTTAATGCTTAATCACTCTAAATTTCACAACCTCCTCTCAATTCTAAAGTAGAATCTTGTGGGAGATTCATTCTGTTTCAGTTCGTTCACAGGCACTGCTGACGGTCTGAGTTGGTGCTACTCATGCAGCCCTCTGTCTTGGAAGCATTGTAACCCTTTGGCAAGAACTGCAGGTGTGGTGCCACTTGCCAGTTCGCATACTACTCCGTACATTTCACTTGATGTTGGAATATCTGATGTCCTAAGTATACGATATAATTACGATACAACAAACTCTTGGTTGCTTTGTGTTGATACCTCTGCTACACCTGACTTTCTCTGTTATAACCCAAGATATATTCAAGTTTTGAGGCCACTCTTTATGAATTACAAATTGAGCGGTGTTGATAAAAAAAATATCGTAATCGTGAGTACACATTTCTCAGTTTTTTGTGTACCTGTGCTGTTTCGCCGTATAATCTCCAGGCTATCCTAGTTCTTCAAGATATGACAGACAGAATTAACAAGGAGGTTACCTGCTCAAAAATACGGTCAAATTCAAAAACCGTTGATGATCCTGTTCAAATCAAGTACCTAGAATGAATCAGCGAAGTCCAAGACAGATTTGGGCTTCATCGATTGGATGACCCCGCACATTGGACAATCGTGCTTACTATCCTGCCAAAATTTATCTGCACAGTGCATACATGTGTCGATGTGTCCACATTTATTATACAAGGCCCGTTGTCGTTCTTTCTCCACACCAAACTCCTTGAAGCAGCAGAAACACTACAATGTTCACAAGAAAGCAAATCAGTGCCACCTTCAGCCTAATGATTCAGATTTGGTTAAGAAAACGCCTAGATTGTCAAGTAATTCATCTAACATACAAAGCATGTTCAGTCTTGTTCCATTTAGACAACAGTTGTTCCAATTTTGTGGTGCATGACTGTGGTTCTAAAAGTTCAAGGTTCAGGATCACGTTCTCTGATATTTAGGCTAAGATCAATGCAAGGATGTTAGGTGTATTCTCTACTTAAATAACATGTTTCACATGAAAACACTAATTAATAATTGGCAATCATCCCCGAGCCAGATTTGATTTTCTCAGGTGTACATATACATTGTAAACAATTAGAGACTCGACTTACGGAAGCAACCGCCTGGGGGTTTATCATTTGAACATTAGTTTTTGAGAAAGCTTTCTCAGGAGACTTCACGCTTACTCCAAGATAACCGTCCTCATCATCATCACTCAGATCGACAATGACCGGATCTAGAGGCTTCAATACAGAGCTCACGTGTTTCTTTTCGTCCAGTGGCAGCACAACAGCAAGGACCTGAATAGGAACCGAAAATCTGGTTAGAACATCTGGCACTGAAGGAAAACGTCGCCTTTTCAAGCTTTCAATTGCTCTCTACTTTGGTACATTCCACGCTATGTTTTTGAAAACCAGCAGTGCGCAGAATGAGAATAAAGTGAGGGTTAATATAAAAGCTTAGCATTTCTAGACATATCATGTTGCACACGAAACCTCAAGGTATTTTATCTTCCCAAAGCACAAGCTTTTGAGAACCACAAAACAAATATCCAGATATGAAGAATCAAGATGAAGGAGCAGACGTTGATCATACCTCACAATCTGGACCATCGGTGAAAACACAATCACCTTCCTGTGTCTTGATCTCTGTGTCTTGATCCCAGGGCTTGTAAGCGCCCTCCATGCATGAATGCTATATCCAACGTACCCAAAACAGAGAATCAATCACACGTAAGCAAGGTTGCTTTGAGTGATATCCTCTCATGCTATATGCTGAACATGAGGCAATTTTTCTACCTGTAGTGACTAAAAGATGGAGTTTCATGTGCTTACCTGAAGCCAGAAGAAGAAACCACGTAGTAAAATCATTTTTTCTGATATATCTAAGCACTCCTTAAGCCGTCTAGCTAAATCTGTTGCATAGGCATCCAAACATTCCTGTCATCAGCCTGCCAAAAGCATTAAGTTCAGGTGCAGAAATTAAGAGAATTCTAGGAGTGCAAACACATCAAGGAAATTCAATCTTCAGCACTTTTTTCAAAGTATATGTTCGTTGAATTTCGATAATGGACGTTGTAGAGGCAAATTCACGACAGATTCCTAGAAGACTAAAGGAAGAATCGAACTTTGAAACAAAGGAACAGGCACTTGCCAGGGTGATGATCGAGGTACGAAAGGCCTTCACCATCTGTAGGGACATGCATAGTGCGGCCACGCATTTGACGCAGCTTTAACAAAGGCTTACGTCGAGTAGCAAGCTCCCACATCTCTGAAAACTCTTTTAAGTCTAAAGGTTTGGAGAGGATTTCTTTCAATTTACAAGAGAAGACACCGCCTTGTACATCCACTGGGAGACTCCACTTGCCTCCCAGTTCCACATCCTGCAAATGGTACACAAACATCACTCCATGTAACAAGATAGCATTCAATAGGTACTGTAATATTCAATGACTAGACATAACGCTCCTGATATTGTGTGAAAAATCTATACAATGTATAAGCCAACAAGAGCCACACGACAAACAAACCTTCTTCTGGCGCCTGCCGCTGGTGGTGCAGCCTTCATTATCACAATCATCTGCTACGTCACATGTTTCGGGGGAGGGCAGCTTGGAGAGGCGTTTGTCGTAAATATTTCCCACGTTAGTGTCAACCCTGATTTCTTTCAGTCGAGACCCATTCTGTTGATAGCTGTAACTCGGTAGCAAATTTATTGCAGGAGAAACAACCTGTGAAGAATTATGGACCTTTTGAGAGATGGCATCTTTGGCCACAGATTCAAGGTTGTCACTTGCTTTATGGGAATCAGTAACTGGGATCACTGGGGTAGCAGGTAGTTCATATGTCAAGCTGTCGTCATCTTTCCACGACACTTTCTTCGATGGGATCTGAGCTCGTACTAAGTCATCATAATCGTGGCCATAATGCGGTCTTTTCAGAGATGGCTCCGTGTATTGAGGTTCATTACAGCAGGGGGTTAGAATTGAGGTTTTAGGCATGCGTGCATCTACGCTAATATACGTCACGTCCTGAAATCCACAAAGAAACATAAACTATGAATTACTACTCTTTAAACAAAATACGATAAAATGAAATATAGAAAATCCTAGATATGGCTTCTCAGTTTAGCACAATGATCACATACCTCCACCTCGGCTGCCTTCCGCTTAGTGCCAGATCCTTCATCCAGTTGATTGCGACATCCGCAATTCGAATTGGCAACAGTGGGACTCTGCGAGTTTGTCTTCGACAAGACGGCATCATTCTTCCCTATTACGCGGCTGTGAATGATTTTATCATCATTCTTCAACTCCAATTCATTCACATTACTCCAAACTGGAGCTGAGGGTGAAGTGGTAGCGAAACTGCTGAGTCCAGCATTCTGGCTCAGACGACAATCTACAGGTGGGACAATTTTACCAGTAAAGTTTCCAATGACAAGGATCGATTTCTTGCGCACAGTTTGGGCCGTAATTAGCACATCTTCGACGGTCTCATCCTTCTTCGAGTGAGAACAAAATTCTGAGAACTTCGCACGCGAGGTCTTGTAAAAACCCGATAATCTCGTTTGCAGATCATGTGAATCCATCTCGAGTCCAACTATCCGTCAAACCGAAGAAAATCTCAAGTCGTTCGAAAACCCACGAAATGACAAATGTATACTCCCAAGACTACACAATTCCCCTCCTCATTTGCCTGTCCTCACGGCAATCACCCCTCACATCATCTAATGTCAGCAGAGTTTGAAACCTAAGAGCTTCTGTACGCAATACCCACAGAAGCATCAAGAATCAAAGTAAACTGCAAACTGCAGACGATACGCTCTTGAACGGATCATCCGAAGCAAGTCCTCACAGCGATGGACACGCCCTGCAAGGACCCATCGTGATGGAAGACCCAACTCGCAAAACACACCCCACTACAGCGGCGCAACTCCGAGACTGCTCGTTGCACCATCGCTACTCATCAACACACCCGTTCATGGAAAAACAATAAAAATGTTAAACATATATATATATAAACCCTCAACTCCACAACAAAGGAGGACGCATTGGACCTCTCAGATGCTCCCAAAAAAACAGCATGAAGTGGACACTTTGCTGCTCGCTCGCATTGAAATCTCCGAAAGCGTCTGCAGAAGAAATTTGAATTGTGAGCTGTCACTAGTCCCTACACACCCCCCCCCCCCCCCAGACCCCAGTAATCACACCTTGGCCTCGGAATTTGCGCCCTCACCTCAGCCTTTATGGTTTTATTTGGATTTTTCTGGGGGTCCGGCTCAAGGTTATATTCTACTTTAGCATTTTGACAATTGGAAAGAGGACAAAAAAAAGCTTTGGAGTTTGTTAATATGTTCCGAAGTTTGTATGTGATAGTCTTAGTAGGATGAGGTAGTGATGTGAAGTCATAATGTGAAGTTATGCTTTGGAACGTCCTATTTTTCCAGTCTCTTTGTCAACTTTTGTTGAGAAATCAAGTCTACGTTCCATGACAAACTAATTTGGTTTTAAAGTTTTAGTGTGAATTAATAATCACAATTTTTTAAACTATTTCCAATATCCTTGAGAAAAAAACCCTATGAATCTACAAAAGTGTTGTTGATAAGTGGAATCAATATTGCTGCTCATGGCTCGTAGTACAATGCTCAAGACTGAAATTTTAGTAATTTGAGATTCCATTCTTTTGCACTTGAAATCAACATTTGAATTTGCAAGAAATTTTACCATGTATTTTTTTTTCAAGAAGTTGCAAGGACTTTGATCTAATACTTTTTTTATATTATACATTTACATGTTAGGAAAAGATCATTTTATTTATTATATTTATATAATATTTATATATAATATGTTATTTATATAATAGAACATTGTCTCTCTGAGATGGCAAAGCTAATCTATACACATAATGGATTATAACACAATACAATCTAATTTGTTATAACTATAATCTAGTTGGGTGTACATAGTATCCTCCTATCTAGCTGCATCATATGAGTATACTCTTCTAAACATGTTGGTGGTGGCATGAACGTGTAACATATATTATATATGTGTTACTGTAACAATAATATGTAATATGACCCTAATTAACAAGTCATCATAGACAAGAATATTATTTGTTTGTCAATCCTAAAGAAGACAAAATATGGATGGAATAATGTGGATTGTCTAAGGTGCTCCTAAGGACGACCCAAGGGACATCCTAGATCCTAAAAAAAATAAAACAAAATCTTAATTACTTGTACCTGCAAGGTGTACTAGGGTACACAAGCCATACTTGTATATATATATATATATATACATATATTTCTTTGAATACTATGGATTTGTAAATTTTTATTTGCAAATATCAGCAAAACAAAATAACAGGGTATTTCTTTTATCATCTGTAAGAGAATTTCAACGAATAAAATATCCTTTGGAATTATGTCATTTGTTGGTTGCTTTAATACATCTTTTTTTAAACGTATATAAATAATTATCTAGATAAAACAACATTACTTTGTGCATATATTTCTTAATATGAGTTGAACAATGTAAAAACATGAACTGTGTACTTCATTACATACACATGTGAAATCCAAGTACAAGGCAATTTACATCGATGATTCATTAATACAAAATGGTTCTGTAAATATGAAAGTAGTAAGTATAATAGTTATCTTCCAAAATATTATGTCCCACACAATTTCCATGTTATTGAAAAATGATTGGAAACAGGAAAACTAGTTCTTGGACAGTGGTCCACGAAAGCAGTTTGGTGGGAAGGTAGGGGTCGAAGAAACTTGCTGTACGAATCAGATGCTTCAACCTTGAAAGATGGACCTCAAGAGATACGAGACGACACTAAACGATGGTCTCAGAGGTCTGACAAATCATGAGAAGTTTCTCAATGCTTCAGAGATACATCAGGATCTAGCCTTCAATTTGACAAAATTGATCAGAAACAGACGTAGTTGTGTAAAAACTGTCTCACAATCCCGGCAATCAGAATCACAAGGTTAATACCATGAGTAGCTCGTCTTGATTATTGACAAAATTACAATTGGACAGCTGGTTTTCCATTTAAAGTGGATACTAGCATATTCCATGTAAGAAGATGGAGCAAAAGTTCAGTGTGGTGTTGAGGGCCACTTGAATGCGGAATACTAAGTTCCCTTTGGGGTTGCAGTTGGCACAGATGTATCAGGCTTCACTGCCACACCCTTCAAATCCAACAAACAACGATCCTTGAGTTTTGGGTCAAAGCGCAGCACATCAGTACAGTTTCGTTGCTTGAAGATACCCTCGAGGTCTTTCTCGATTCGTCTGGCAACATTTTTGAGTACTTTCGCTTTCGGAGGTCCAGGTGCAGCCTCTTCATGCAGAAGTTTCTCCTCGTCTGCAGTGAGCACAGAAATAAAACTTTTGTAACAAAATGCAATACATAAGATAATTATGGCTTCTGAAAGCACTTTTTGCTAAACCGTCCAGAGAGATATTTATTTTACGGAACATCTCCATAGTAAGCACGTTTGAGAGTTGAAACTAATTTATCCAGGGCTTATTAGCAGACTCAAACCAGAGAAGATGCAACCTCAAACTTCAATCCGATCCATTCCATTTGAGTTTGCAATGAATACTAATACTCATATTAGTGCTTACCAGTCATGAAAGGAGTACAATCTAAGGCATTCTCCCAAAGATTTTGAATTTCACCGTTGTCGTTGCCAACTGGAACTGATCCATTTTCAGAGATCCACGCATCACGTGTGCCTTCTAATAGAGCCCGACTGGGTTTTGAGACATGCATAACCTTGACATAATAGCACTGCAAAGGTCTCCTAGCAAAATGTAACCTCATACTTTGGTACACCTGCTTGTATCAGTCAAAATGTCATACTCGAATCATTTAGAAAATACATGTACACGTAGAACATATCATACCACGTCCGATTTCTACACGACGTCAATCTTGAGTATTACGCTAAATAAAACCTCAAACCATGTAAAGATTCTGCAAAATGCTAGAACAAGGGTGGAGACAAGGGTCGATGAAAAGATAAAGAACGGCATACTTGACGTGAGATGCCAATGAAACAAAGCGTCTTGTTCTCATCGAAGATAGCATACAGACTGGCCTTGGCGCCAGGTTCAGTGCAATCCGCAATGTGGCCTTCTTCCGTTAAGTAAGGAATATACTCGAGGCTACTTAAAGAAACACCCTCCCCACCTTGCATGGATTGTCTCCGCAATGCGTCTTGCCTCTTCCTATATTCTTCCTGAGCCTGCAGGTCATTACCAGATACTCGTTTTCACCTCTGCCACTAAATTCAAAAAGCATAATATGGCGGTTCAACTTAAATACGTATATGAGAATTCCCTCAACAGCCTTGGCAAAAAGAATAAAACTCAGACCAGTGAAACTTCCTGCCCGCCCAAACCCTACACGGAACACCAAAAAGAAATTAGGAAGAACTTCCTACAGCACTATACTTAAATCCAGAAAGGTACCTGAGCTGTAGCCTGGCGTGTTCTCTCTTGGTGCTCGTCTGCAGCTGCTAACTTTTGCTTCCACTTAGGTTCTGCACATTGATTTTGCAAATAGTAACACCAAAGGCAACCTCAATGATCACTTCCAAGCAATGCTCCAGTTAGAAATAATGTGATGAAGATGACTCAATTTCGCTGCGGAAGTTACATGCTTCCCTACTGTGATATGTGTTCACGCAATTACTACCAAGCATTTCGGTGCCATTCCATATGCAAAATTACTTGCCACACTAACATTGCTTGGACAAGTTGTTAATAAAGAAAAAAATCATTGTCATTAGGTCGTTTGAAAACATTTCACAAGACGTAGATAATGACCTGCGGCAGAGGCGAAGACCACAACATGTGGCCTCTGAGATACTCTCAGATCACTACGCTTAAAATTGCAAAAGAATTCCTCCCTAGAAAAACATCCGCGAACACCAGTAAGTCGCCAACACAATAAACATTTTCTCTTCCGAATGCAAGTAGCTTTCATACCTACCACACAACACGTGCTTGCCTCCAACAAAGCGCATCGTCAATAACAAAAAAACCTGGATATGGTGTCAACTTAAGCCTCGATACTCGAATAATTAAACTCAGAACGCATTTCCACAAAAAATTAAAAAACTAACCCGAGGAAAGCAGATTTCGGCAACGATGCAGATGCAGCACCGTCATGGTGGCTCTGACCAAGACTGCTCTTAAATATCAAGCCGTGGCTTCCCAAGCTCGCCGCAACAGCCGCCATGGTTCCTAACTCTCAATCAAAATGCGAATTCAAATCCTAAATGCAACAAGCGCACTGTCCAGCTGAGCTTCCTCACCTTCTGCCACCATCCACAAGTCAGACCTCCTCTGCAAACTGCGACAAAGCGTTCTACAAGCATGCCCTCTCATCACCAATCTCCCTACATAAAATCAAGCTAGACTTCAAATTCAACACCGAAATCCTAGTACCGGAGCCAGACAGACCGTTTCACTGGAAAGCAAAGCGAGCGCGCAGCTCGCTGTGTCGTCGTCCTCCCGTGCCAAAACCGAAGTTTGCCGAGGTGAGCTCCGCCGCGAGGAAGGTAGGCTCACAATTCTACAGGTAAACAAAAATCCGAAGACAAATCCGAAGACGATCCATCTCTCATCCAATGGATGAATATATTTGGATGGATGGGGATGATTAAGGATGAAGGATCCAGAACTTTATCTGAGCGTTTCGATATCCAGATGCAACCTCCACGTGTCCATGGATTATTGCTCAAGTCCAAACTCATATCCTTTATTATTAATATTATTAATAATAACCCCCCTCTAGACTCATAGATCTCCTTTTTCATTGCCTGGGGGGGGGGGTCCTGCTTTGTTTCTAATAAATTAAATAACAATCAAATATCTGAAAATTATTAAGTCTTAACCAAACTAAGTTGATGCTGTTTTCAGTGGCTTTTCTTTTCTTTTTATTATATTTTATATATATATATATATATATATATATATATATATATATTATTTTATTTTAATTCTGTTTCTTCAAGTGACTCTATTTTTTGGTAGTTGATTCTTGTACTATGTGCAAAAACATTCAGGAGAACTCTGTCGTGTTTAAAGTTTTATTATTTGGGATCATAGATAGAGTTGTATATTATGGTGTGTTATATCATATTTCAAAAACCAACCAGTAGTTTCAATAAATGGCTTTGGTGTATGTAATTATAATTTCTTTTAAAAAAAAAAAAAAAAAAAAATCTAAATTACCAAATCATCAAAGACCAAATTCTAAAATGTCATTTTTTTTAATTGATAAAGATTACTTGATATTCTATAATTTTTTTAAGGGAATAATTTGTTTCTAATTATTGATGTTTAGAATAGATATGTTGTGGTTAATCCAACATGAAGAAACAATTTAAATTTTCAAATTTTTTCCATTTGTATAATAGTTTAATTATTTGATGAAATTGTTTGGTGCATGTCTTTCAGTTATAACTTTGTTTCTTGTGTTTTTAAATATAGATTCTACTTAGACTCACTTCATTTTGTGTTATTTCAGAATGAAGCTCTAATTGTATCAATGAGTTTTTGGTTGATTGTTTGTTTAATAAAATGTTTAAAATTACTTTTATTACTTTTTTTCTCAAATAAATTAATTGGATAATTATTAAAAAAAATCCCCCCCCCCAAAATATATATATATATATTATTTTTTTAATAAAAATAGCACTCAATCAAGTATTTAATTTTTTAAAAATATTGCTACTAGTTGAGACCAATTTACTAAAATAAAAAGTCTAACCATTTTAATTCTCTATTAATAACTTTCCAAGTGATATAAAGTTTAAAGCTTAAAGAACTATTAACTGATTCTCAAATTTTTAAAAATTTACTTGAATGGCAAGAAAATTAGAATCATAAAGCTGTGAAAATTGTGAATTAGCATATAAGGCCAACTATATGTTATAAATTACATCTAAGATAAATGAATGAAATCTAAATAATTTATTCCAAAACAATTTAAAATTTAATATTAGTTAAATCCCTTGATCTCTCTAATAGTGGAAGCCCCAACCATATCTGAAATTGCAAACCAAATTTACAAACAGTTGAATTGATGTGATTGCAAAAATTATTTCAAGAAAAGGACAAAAAAAAAAAAAAAAAAAAAAAAAAAACGCATAATATCAATTGTGACATTATTAATGTTTATGCATACACTTGAACTTTGAGTTCCCTGTTGACCACAAACATGAAAATGTAATCAAGATTAATTTTTGCAGAGTGGGTCTAATGGAAAATTCCTCTTCACATGATTAGCTAAACGAAGCAACCCCTCAATATATTGAGAGCTTCTCTGGTTGATAGCTACAGTGCTAAGAAAATCTATGACCAGATCAGGTTTTTTCAAAGCACATGCCTCAACTGCTTGAGAAATACCCTCCTGCACTACAAAGCATTTTGTATAATGTCATCATATGTTATCAGGTTCCCCCCACCAATGAAAAAATATGGAGAGGGAAATATTTTAACTTTTTAATACCATGTTGAGTTTCATGCAGAGTATAATTAGAAATGATCATACCATCATAAGCAATAGCGTATATTTCATCAATTTGCCAAGTAAATATCTAATTGATCGTAGAAGAAAACCTGAATACTCGGAATCACATCATCAATGTGAGCTACAAGGAATGAAACGAAACCCTTCACCTGTGCTCAAATTTGCACCAACTCATGGACATTGTCACAATAAATAGATGATTTAACACCATTCTTAGAAGACTTTTACACAAACTCTACTTATGTTTCGTCTGCTTGCGTACTTGTAGCATTGCATGTGTGCATCAGAGACAACAGCAGCTTTCCAAGTGGTACCTGTACAGTTGTTTATAACAGCATTCTATGTGATTTGGAATTACAGATGAATCTGTTAGGAGTGTAAGATGAGGGAAATTACTTCAGAGTCGCAAAAAGAAGACGGCATGGTGGTGAAGAACATTGCCACAGCTGGCAGGATAGCTATTCGGATGGTGTTGCTGCTATCATCCACACGCTTCATGAGAACTTTGATAAGTTTAGTTCTCTCCTCAGCTGTGAAAACCATGCCCCACAACACTTGACCTTCTTTAATGGCAGAAAGTATGCGTGGCAGCATCTACTGCAAAGTAACAATTTATCACTATGTTCACTTATAACATTGAACACAGAGGGACCTTGACTTCCAGCTGAGCGCGCATTTGTATCCAAGCAAATGAAAAACTAGAGTAACGACACTAAAGGGCAGCAAGACAAGGTCACCACAGTATGTAGATTTTCTCGCACACACGCTGATTAATTAGGCAAGACATTCATGCTTACCCACTCATGCCGTTTACAAGCCGTCTGATGCACACCCTTCCAAAAGTATCAAAATCTAAAGTATCCACACAGAAACTATTGCCTCGGATCTACTAGAGCTTAAATATGTAATGTCAATGCTTTGAGATTACTGTTTAACGTGGGGCCCGAAATTCGAATAAGGTGATACATCACATGGGTGGCTGCACGTCGAACATCTAGAAAATAATCCTCATCGATGCAAGTTTTTACAACAGGAAGAAAACCCTCTGGCATGTTCAGGATCTCTTGCATCTGTGTCTGTCATTTAAAAAAATATGAGCGTAGTTCTTCCACGTCAGAACTAGGTCTTGTACTTGATCAAGTTTATTATGAAAGTATCTCACTTGCACATTTCTGAACTTCCTCGGTGCAATGGTATGAATCTGCACGATGTATTTCACTTGAGTTTGCACATGAAAAAGTACATGCTACATGGAATAAATGATATCAAGATTAAGACATGCATTGAAATAACCTGACTACAAAGGTCTTTTTTTAGAAATGTTCCGACCGCCACCATTGCACCACAACGTATAGCAGCTTCTGTCTGAAAGCAATGGGTCCAAATAAAATCAGGTACGAACATCTCACTCACAATCGATTAAGACAAGAAAGTAGAATAAAATCGTGTTAACTTATTGCAGAAAATTTATGTACCAATTGGTTTTACCTTGCCTGCACGCCACACAGCACATGATGTAAGAAGTTTGCCAACGAGGTCTGGAGCAAGAGGAGACCACGATGATCCAAGCCCTTGCTTCTCAAATGACTCGTTCAGGAGCTAGTCCAACAACATTCACAGCACTAGTATCCTTCAGGTAGTTTTTTGTAATCAACTCGTGAGAAAAGCCTAGGTTTAGGTTACAACCTTTATGTAACATTAAGGTTCTAACATAAAGAATAAGCTGTTACGAAGTTCACAGCCAAGTAGTAAACCTGCAAGAAGCTGAATCGAAGAACTGGATCTTGGTTGTTTTGCAAGCATACACGAAACAATGGCATGAGAGACTTCAGGTAAGGACCTACCTGCAGTCCAGTTTCATTCCTCATTAGATTAGACGTTCCATGAAAATTGAGGAATGGGTTGACTAGCATGCATTGGGAGATCTCAGAAGGGCACCATGACGTTGGTAGAAATGTTACGTACAGTGTCATCGGCATTCCGCATGAAAGTTTGGAACAAATGATTCCCTGGCGAGCCCGACGACCAGCGCTTATGATCAGCAGTAACAATGTCCAACATGCTATGAATATGTTGTACATAAAATTCTCGAACAGATTTCATCCGCAAAACTTGCGCAAAAGATTTAAGGACGTGACCTGCTCTTTGTTGAAGTTGGTAATCACCTTCTACACTTTGAAGCTGCAACTTTCGAAACAATTTAATATAAAAAGGCTTGCTCAGTAGCTCAGAGATGAAGGGATGTATGTTATGACGAAGAAACAACAAAAGTAGTTACCCGAAGCAGAAAAATGAAGATATTAAAGGATGAGGACGTGCATAACGCTCCAGCAACTTGAACTAAGTTATTCACCACCGAAAGAAGCTGCCAGATGATAAAATTTAGATCATTAGTAACAATATTTTCGCAATTTCATTTGCTAAGAAAAGAAGAAACCCAATTATTGCATATTAAGCGAGAGAAAATTCTCGAATCCAAGCTGCGCTACAATACATCTTTGCACAAATAATCGATGGTTTCACCTGATTCTGAATAGAAGAATGTTCACTGCAGCAAACTTCTTTTCCATAGAGCTTTTCACATATCTGTGCGGTCAAATATACATATGACCGTCAATGATCCAGTATTAGTTTAAGAACCCCGACATGACGTTAGATAACTGCAACAAAAGAGTGTCCAGATGGATATGACATTGCATGCATGATCAATAAACGCCTGAAGTAATAGTTGAGATGCCTCCGTAATATCAGCAATCGACAAACTGTGACAAAGTTGTTTCTATCGATTGCACAAGAAACAGTCGACAAATGAGTGATGAGCAAGTCCGCCTTAAACTATGACACTCGTGCTCCATTGGACTAGGGTTAAAACAAGATTCTCCAACTCAATATCCAAGTTGTGCATACTTGTTACAAAGTTCTTACACATATAACGCTGCAGTAATTTATGCAAAAGGTCTACGTAGAAGTTTCCAAATTTTAATAGTAGCGAACCTGTTCAACATGCTCCTCTTCCATCGCTTTACGAGGTGTGCCATACAATAACGCAGCAGTAACGACAAGCACATGTGCTCTCTATAGAATCACCACAAGTCACCATTAAACATAGGCGATAATAAGACTGGAATCAAGGGCGATACAGTGAATTAAAGAATAACCCAAAGATCCATTTACATCAATAAAAGAAAAGAAAGTTTCTGATTAAGCTTTTGGACGCAACCAGCTGAAAATCAGTGAGTCTCGAATGCTAAACAAAATCACGCAAAACTGCAGTTGTGAACTTCTGAAAGAGAAGCATCTTGACTGTAAAGAAAACAGAGCGCAGTGTAAGGATGATTCACAAACTTAGGGACAATTAAGTGTAAGGTAATTAACCTGAGCGTCACTAGTTTTTATGTTTCCCAAAGGTTTTAGAACCAGAGGTAACCATTTCTTAGGTGGCACATAAAATCCGACAATATGCGTAGTAGCAACAACTCGCTTTGCAACTTTTACATCATCATCTCCCACTGCACTGCAACCCACAAACACCATTAGTTTTTGAGTCATTTGAACAGTGCAGAATTTGCAGACAAAAAGTTAGACATACGAGTGGCATTCACATCTTGAAAATTTGAATTTAAAAGAAGACCGATGAATTGGTTTTCGTGTTTCTAATCGAACTACACTATGGAGGCATGCGACTTTATCATAGACAACAAAAAAAAAGACAAAGAAAAAAAGAAGATGAACGTGAAGATTAAGAGGAGGTCGTCGAAGACCTGCAAAAAGCTGGAATTAGTATGTCAAGGTTATCCTCCGCAAATCCTTCTGCAAATATCTGAACACTCGCAAGTGATTCGAGACTCAGGAGGGAAAAAATCATTACCTTATTGATTATGAGCACGTTCTTAACACATAAATCCCTTACATTGGTAGAAGAAAGACAACCAACCATTAGTGTGTGAAGCAGCCGAGCTGCACTTAATCGGGTAGGAGCAGTCCATTGCTTAAGCTCTTTGAGACATGGTTTTATCATTGATCTCAGAAATGCCTGTCACCCGCACAAGCGCAATACAAATAATCTGTGAAGGATCATTGAAACCAGGTAAATTACAGAATATTACAGCTAAAATTGAAGACTCAAAGAGTGAAACCAGGGAGAATATTCGCAAAACAGCACACTGGATGCATTCGAGCAGAACACATGTAGTGAAAACCTTAAAACATATCCAGAGATTCAAAACTGCAAGTTGAAATGTTTTAAGGTTTTCACAGCATATATTGAGAATATTTAAAATGTTTTAAAGTTTGCTAGTGTTGAAAACTGCAAGTTGAAAATTTGCGAACACAGCGTACATAACCAAACAATTTGCGATGACAGCCATGTCTGAAGTTTCAAGGTTTGCGTCCTTGTATTTAGAATTGTGCGCATTTTACGTCAAAGGAACTACATGGTGATTAGACCACTTTTAATTGTTTAAGACACAGTTAGACAAGTTATTCAATTTCTCATAATTGGGAAAGATACCTCAACCATAAGCTGACAGCCAGCGCTGGGTCTTCCTCTGTAAGGAATCGGCAGCTGCAGAGTTTCCACGCCTGCCTCACCACTATCCTTCTTTAAAACCGCTCCCTCATTCGTAATCACACTCGTCACTTTATTCAAAGCTTTATTTCGCAACAAACTCACTATGGTTTTGGCCTTCTTATGTTCATCTTCCTGGCGAACCTGATTGCTTGAGACGTATTTTTCACTCTTATCATCATCCTTATCCCCTGCCGTTGACCCTTCTTCCTTGTTTTCCAGAGAATCAACACTGATACCAGGGGTCTCATTCCAAGGATGTGCCTCTGCGTTAACATCAAGGCCTGAAATTTTCCCGTGTACAGAGTTTGTTTGAACTTCTTCCAAGCCACCACTTCTTCCGTCAATGATTTCTTTCCCGTGTACAGAGTTTGTTTGAACTTCTTCCAAGCCACCACTTCTTCCGTCAATGATTTCCACACCCTCAATCCCCAGTGCATGAGACGCACGCCAAAGTTGACCAGGGTCAGATCCGGAGTTCTTATTATCTAGTTCCTGGCACTTATTGAAAATCCGCAAATCGGAGTCAAGGATCCACTCCACAGACAAATCTCCCTCAATCAGATCTGTCTCCTTCCAACTAGTTTGTGACTTCTGTGACCCTGAGCGGCTAAGAGCAGCATACCATGGAGGTATTTTTGAACGCTCAGGATGTACATTATAATCTTTCAAATCCGGGTCAAAAATAGCTTCCGCGGTCACTTCGCTATTCTCCTTACATGTCTCCTCTTTCCCAATTCTTTCCATCCCACCCACAGTCCAAGTTTTCTTCTTTACAGGTACAGTGTTAAATGCCCCTTTTTCTGCAGTTTCCTCTGAACTCTCGACTTTGGTTACAAAACTACATTCAGGCGCGTGGCTCTTCTCATATTCCACTGCCTCAGATCTATGAGTAAAATCCTTCATAGCTTGCTCAAGATCATGCTCTCCAAGTTCTTTTGCATTCTGGGTTACCGTCCTTTCCTTCGCACTTTCTGCAATAGGGACCTCCCTTATTGCACTACCTAGAATCAGCGTGTCAGCCCAGGTGGACTTTCCAGCATCACGGTCCCCGAGCACAACTTCGATGAATTTTCCACCTTCTTCTAGGGACTTCAAGGATACGTCCTCTCTCCCCTAGCGCAAACAAAACAATTCTAGGGATCAATCACAATAACTTGAAATTTCACAATTTACGCCCAACTGAAAGAAACTTTTGGAAATTCATACAAAAGTACGTTATGGTAAGTTCATTACTCTTAAACTATTCGCGTAACGGATATGCTTGCGTGTACAATTCATGTTATGTCTTTATGTACCTGTGGGGCCTTAAATTTATTTAGTTGGTCGATAAATTTCTTATAGATCTCGCCAACGCCTTCAATTTTCTCATAAGTTGATCTGGCTATATCAAGGCATTCATCTGTTAAACCCAGCAATAAAAGAGGTAGAAGCTCTGCGATGTGGAAGCGTGGGACTTTTCCAGCAATGATGCACTCGCGAATCTCCTCGTCATTCATTTTTCTCAAGTTGTAATTGAGCCAGTTAGCAACACTGGCAAAAAACAGCTGCGATCAGAAACCGACAAGACAAGTCATTAGTGCATGACACTAAAACTACGCAAACAGTCCATCCAAATCTCAAGTACAGTAGAGTCCGAAAAAGCTTGTAGTCGGCTTAAGTGAAGGCTGATGCCACAAAGCGCATTTGTACGTTTTAAGGCCCGTGGCTAGGCAAAATATCTTCTTCATATCCCAAGTCCCAATAAAACTACTTCATCACAACCTTTTCATAACCGAGCTCAGCGAAAATGACACAAACTCGGGAAAACATTTACCGCACATTTAACCTTTCTTACTCATTTGGAACGGTGTTTAACTACACTTGACAACAAGTATGTGGAGTGTTTGCAACAATTATGTTAGTAATGTTAGTAGTTTGAGGCAAAAATAATCGCGAAAGAAATTCTTTGGTCAGGAAACTGCTTGCAACCAGTAGTAGTCTTAAGAAGAATAATGCACTTGCATTTTACTAGACAAGTTCGGATTATAAACAAGGAATGAAAATTGACCTCTCTGACAGTGGTGGTATGATCGAACGCCAAGAATTTAATTCCAGGAGCTAACTGCTGAGCCACTACACTTGCAGTAAGCCCGCATTGCACCATGGCATCAATCGCTTGGAAGACTGCAATTCTTACCTGCAGACAGACATGCAACGATGAGATTCAAGCTCAATACATACAGAAAAGAACTCTGATCAACAACAAAAATGCAAGAACCTGAACTCCGAGGAAGATCCCAGATAGTTCACGACTTGAAGCCTAACTAAGCAGCGAGGATTTATCGTACTCGCGAGTGAGAATGACTGAGACAAGGGATGAGAGCTTTGAGTAACGTCCCGATCCTGTTCCCAAACACATCTGGGTCGCGGTTCGCCGTTGTGACAAGAACTCTGCAAGCGCTCTTTCTTACCTCATGAAAATTATCATAAAGGGTCACAGTCAATATCTGTGGCATCACCCCACACTGTCAAAAACTCGGCATGAATACGTTACCCTAACGCACAGCACTGCAGCCTGATTTGTTGCTCTAAAAGATGCATGGCATCTCAAACAAAGAACCATGAATGGCTTTTATAATCAGATAAGATTAAAATTGTTTATCGAGAAGATCCAAACCCTATGCAGAGGATCAATAATAGTTTGCAGTGACGAAATCTCGCACTCTGGGAGCAGAATGTCATTTAAGAGTGAGAATAGCTGCAAGCGTATCTCCTCGGAGTCTTCCAATACTGGTGCCTGTCCTGCATCATGTAAAGGATAGAACCTGTCACTTATCAGCAACAAACTGGAACACCAGGATCGAGATATAGTCGACGATTTCAGTTAAGTTAATTACAATTTTGGCCCCCATGAAAATTGAGATTGAATTTCACTTTTCTAATAAGTTTCTTCACAATTTAGTATACATGTTTGAATATTACCCATCCTTAAAGCCATAACGCGGACAATTTCTTTCAAGGTAAAGTCTACCTGCAACAAAATAAAACATCAATGAATTAAGTTAAACTTACTTTCATACACGAGGAAGCAGGAGTAAGAGGAGACCAAGGGACTTAATACACCTTATATAAATACTGTATAAGCGTTGAATACCTCGGTAAGCGACTGGGCCACTTCCCTGATAAGTTGAATGGCAACCTCTCTGCATTTCTCAGTGGGATCACAAACGCAACGCATTACTCTATCTAGAATGTGTCCATCCCATAAAGCCTGCAAACCGTAATAAAACCACTGTTCTTTAGGAGACCACAAATTTAAGATCTCTAACGAATCGAGACTCGCTTTAGAGTGAAGGGATTGAGCACCTGTAAAACATCCGCTGGAGGCAATGATCCTGCCGCGTCATCTTTCAGCAAATATATGTGTAGTCTTTCTATTGCAGTTCTTCGTATCTTCGCTTCTTCGGCTGACAAGCAATTTATGGTTCTTTGAATGGTCTACAAGATGAGTTCAAATAAAGAACACAATATGAGGTGATTTGAGGTAAAATTTTCAAAAACATCACAAGAAAGCAGATGAGCACATGATTCAACGTCAGATAAGTTAAAATTTTAAAAGCGGCCCACACGAAGGGCTGGAAGCAGGTGATGTAGGTCATTGCTAGGTGCTATCCGATCAATGACGATTAGCCAAATACCCTAATTTCAAAAGAAAGCCAGTAACACTTCCCCTTTCATGTCCACTTCTGAATTCAATTCAGAATCTTCGACCATTCCACAATTCAGGTTTCATTTGTAGAATTAAGCAAGGCTGATAGAGTGTTGTTACATCAATTGATCTCTTGGTGACAAATTTATGGGCAAAACTTTGAAGCTTCATTCCGTGCATAATATTTTAATTTCCTCTTGAATGATTTGAAATATTATGACTAACATTATAATGTCCTACACCTAGTTGTATTTTGATTGTGTCGCAGAGGATACAGTATGATCATTATGAAGTCTAAGTGCGTTTCATACCTGGAGAAATGCAGATATTACGTCCTCCTTTGTGATATCACTTGGGTCCACGTATTCATGAGGAGACTCCGCCATCGCCATTGCCTTTACTTACTCGATCAACCACTCCAACCAACAACCCAAACACTGAGAATTCTGTGCAGCAAAAGCTCACTGTAAGATGAGTGTGCTTTCTATCGCATAGATGATCGAACAAGGAATAGTTCTGCAAGATAGGACTGCCATTATACACGTATAGAATGCAAACGAATGTAACAAAAACTCTTAAATAAAGACACAACAGAAACATTCCACAGAGTGATCGAGATCGTTTAACATGTAGCAGGGGAGGAGACTCGCCATAGATTTGACGAAGGACCCACCTCAATTAATTGTCCATGGAATCGCATGACACTTCGAACATCGAAATGGAGACCTAACCTGCATTAACGCAACCCCTACTACATTTGCGACGATAACCACGGATGCAAGCACTCATCCAGGGGAGGATTCTCAGTGCTTTTGCTAAAAAGCTTTAAAAGTGCAAGAAAGGCATCTCCAACGCCACTCTGGCTAGCAGTTTCATTCACTGATGGAATCCGATACAAGATATTTTCAGGAACGCCAAGTGGGACACTGGCACTGACATGTTCCACCTCGCTTTACAAGTTTCATCGCCAGTCTGGCCTTGTTAGGTGAGGGGAGGACAATGAAAATGGACAGACCAGCACTCTGGGGATGGAACAGGCAACGGATATGATAGCCATCAACGTGGCAATTTCAATCGCGACTTGCCACTGAGCACATCACAAAGATCTCCACTCCTCCTTCGCTACTTCCTACTCATTAGAGCAGACACCGGAGCTTTTGTGCACATGATTCTCGCGTCATTTGTTTCCACCGGACACTCTTTGAAATCAGTGAGAAGTGCATCAGGATTCCTCAATTTTCTTGTTCAGTCTCCTAGCCGCTGTTTTCTCAAGTTTTCTTCCTGCTTCTGTTGTGCAGTGTGTGTGTATTTGTGGCACCTAGGTTGGTGAAGAGAGCGAACTTTGTTGCTCAATTCTCGCTGATTCAAGGTATATATCTGTAAGCCGGTTGTATAGTCTTCTTTACTTTTGCATTGGCTGCCATTTATGTTGAATGGGTGAGCCGCTGCTTAGAGAACCTGAAGATAGTAACCTTGATGCAAAATTTCGTGGTGTGAGGTGTTTTTTTCATGCGAGTGGTGGAGTGTTGATTATTGGGTTGGTTTCGATTGAGCTCCTGTTTTGTGGGTTCGTGCAGGATTAGTCTGTCAGAAGAGCTTTGTAGAATAACGTCGTCCTTAGATGTTTTTTTGGTTCTGTTTTGGCTGTGAGTCTGAATTTCTCTGTGCATCTTTTCAAGTTGTGTCTCCGATCGGTATTGAGAGGGGAAGAGGCTTCCCACATGCATCATGCGCTGCAAGGAACTATATTTTACTGACACCTTGCCGTCTATTATAACCCTGTACAGCATTGCATCGTTTTCATTTGAGTTTATTGTCTTCCATAGATTATGAAATATCTGATTTAAGTCATTCATGAAACTAAGCTATTTGGATTGGGAAGGGTAATCTTTTTGTATTCTATTTATCTTTACCTGGCTGTGTTCGCTGCCGTTGAATTATATGTCTTTTCTGCAGACCCCGTCGCCTTCTAGTAACATTTCTCTCAGAAATCTTTTTACCATCACATTATTTTTTGGGGTTCGCTTCAGTTTTGTAACACTATTCTTGTTCTGGTGGATTCGAGTACTAACATACGATCTCCGCCATTGTCCGTTCTGCATGTTTCTTTGTAATAGGCTTACACGCGAATGTCATGACAGTAGCCAGCTATTCCCACACGCGTTTCCCAAAACTTATAATTAGCTATCAGTTACTTTTCCGAATGATGCTAGAATTCAAAATGTGGAGCGGCAACCAAGTCAGCGACTAAGGTTGGCTCTATTACGCAAACTGGGTTGACCAGCTTCTACACTGGCCTGCAGGATGGTGACTGCTAACAAGCCGAACCGCAGCGAGGAGATAGGCACTCCTGAGGAGCAAGGGCAGCGTGCCCAAGAAGTTCGCGCTTACCTCGACGCCAACGCGCCAAGGCGACCACTCAAGCCCTCCCGAAGCGACGCTGCCGACATGCTTGCTCAAGTCGAAAGCAATCATACTGTAGTATCCGACCCGCCGGAGCAGAAAAAGTTCCTTCAGCTTCTCGCAAACGGTGTTCCTCTCGAAATGCTGGGCAATGCAGAAGTGGATGAAGATTACACTGAAAGCGAGTACTACCAATACAAGTCTGCCATTGACAAGGCCCATCACACGACAGGTAGTGGCTTCATTAAAATTGAAAAAACTCCACAGGGCTTTCATCTTTCCACAAATCCGCAATCTTATCATACCCGGGAGCACCACCGATGCAATCCTGCCATGAACGACTGGGAGCCTGCACCGAACTCTAGCGAGTCCATTTCCAACAAGCCATTGCGAAGTGAATCTATGGACTCGTGAGTGTCACACTTCGGAATTGGATTTTTTATTTACTTGTGTGTTCTCACCTAAAGCTGTAGACTCGCTTGCAAGCTTTCCATGTGCATGACTTCCTCCAGTGTGGTTTCCTTAGTGTGAGCCCTAGTGGCTGTCATTGTATGGAAACTCAAAAAGCTTGGAATCACAACTACAAGACTGAAAACATGAGAGCATTCAAGTGTTGTGTATTCGGTTGTTAATGTGATAGTTTCGGAAGAATGTTGCATGGTATTTGCTTTCTTGTTTCATAACTGTATAGCTACTCATATGCCTGTCCGCAAGTCTTGAATGCATTTGATTGTTCCGTGAAAGTTGCCCAGCTAGCCTGTCTTCAATCAAGTAAAAGAGATAAGCTATGCCCTTAAACATAAGGAAAAAAAAAAAAAAAAAAAAAAAAAAAGTGATTACAATTAGATGTTGCTCAGACTCTCAGATCTGTGAGGATCGTATCTCAATCTGAGTGACAGCATTCCTGACTCCAGTGGCAATTCAAACAGTTGGGGTTTGAAATGACATTGTGCTTACATTGAAGTGGTGGAGGGTGTGGAACATGGAACAAGATGTAAGCTTACAAGAGGCAATAGAGAATACTTCAAGTCTCCTGTTGAGCTTTGCCCCAAAGTGGGAATATTTTCATGGATATTAAAGCTATCTTCAGTTTAAGTTGTGGCCTCTAATGGCCTGTCAATTTAGTGGCAAAACCCATCCAGATGTTAAATACAGGAATGATTCAGTGAGAATTCAAGTCATCAAGTTTGTGTTGAATTGGAGAAAGTTAGTTTCCTTTTGAACAGAAAGTCACTACTTAATGAGTAGTATTTATATGACCTGTCTCATAAAATAGAATAGACGATTGCAAACTTTCAGACAGTTTAGGATGGTTAAGACCAGAATCTGGTAGCAATCAGTTTTGGTTGTAATAGAATTTATCCAAGGTGAGCCATTCTCAGTAATATCATTAACAGAAATCCCTTCAAATTGCTATGACATAGCCCATTTGTAAAACTTATCCACTAAGTTCGTTCTAAGACCTAAAATCACATAATCTGAACGAACAAACTTTGCAAAAACGCTAGGCAAACAAAACAGTATGTCATGTGTGAAACCTGTAATTTGTGATGCAATCCATCATATTGTGCATAAAAAAAGCATTCAAAATGGTATTTCAATTGATCATCTTATCACAAAAATCACAATACTGAAACTTGATTTTGAGATAGTTAATGTACAACTGCATGCTTAAACCAGCTTGTCTTTTCACTTTCTTACGATAAATTAAAATATTATTCTTAAATTGGAAAAACTGTTTTTTAATGATCGATTTGTATAGTATGTAAAAATTGTCATATTTATAGAAGATTGTTAGGTGGACACCCCCCATGCTATGCACCCCAACATACACAAAGTAAAATGATTATTTATACTCATAGGAAAAATTTACAATAAGAGATTTGTATGCAATGGCTTATTGAATTTTTTTTTCTTTTATTTCTTTCTTTTTCTTTCTTTTTTCGTTTTTCTACAAAAAAATCATAATACAGTTCATGTAATTCTTTTATGCACTTTATAAAAGCTAATTAATTTATTTTAAAGAATCTTTTATTGTAAATTTATTTCAAAACGTTCTAATATAAATAATAATTTTGCTATGTGTATGTTGGGGTGTGTGGCACAAGGGTGTCCACACATGAAGAAAAACAAAATCCATCTGGTAGGTCCCTACGTTTATATAGCATCTATCTACTAATCACTATGTTATTATTCTCTAAACTAAAATAGTGTGCAACAAGGCTAACCTAACCTAGTAAATTTTAATCAATTTTTGGTTGGTGTCTCTTCCATAAGCAAAAATAGTTCTAATACTTTAACAAGAAACTAAATTTAGTTGTCAAATATCCAATTTATGATGAATACAGTCAAACCAAGAATATTACAGCTCTAAATACTAAAACTTTAGTTATGGTAGTGGATTTGTAGGTGTTACAAAAATACAACCAGTACAAACACAACTTTGGCATTGATACTGTATATTTTGCAAAAAATATTGAATAAAAACACTATTTTGGAAATAAATAATCTAATGGGTTCCTAAACTATTACAAATAATTGGATTTATTGTATGTGTGCAGTAAATTAAAATAAACATTAAACTTATCAAACATATGTGATTCATTCAAATTACAATTACATATACATTGTGTTACGGTTGATCAGAGAGAAACACATTACATATTTAACAATATTACACATTATAATCATTATTATTAATGCAAATTACATTTTGAAGGGGAAAAAAAAAAAAAAAAAAAAAAAACTATTATTGTCTGTACACATAAACTACAAAACTTCAGGACGATGACCACTCTGTTGAATCTAAAAGCTAAATCATAATGGAAATAATTATCAAGAAATTTTTCTTTTAAGAATAAATTTCAAAACTACATAACCATTTCAAGAAAAGACCTTAAGAGCAAGTTTATTTATTTATTTATTTATTTATTTATTATTTTAAAAAAACCCAAGTTATAAAAACTGTGGTAATAAAATAAAATAAAAAAATAATTAAAATTTGGCACATGTATGAGTTCATATTGTGTGCCGTTTGTGCAACTATGCAGATGTGGGTATGGCAAAAAAAACCCACCCAATGTGGTCAAATGGGGACTACATAGCATCCAAAACAATGATCCTTTCAATAATAAAATGCTGGGACACTTCAACCTTTTGCTTTTTGTCTCTCATATTTTACTTACTATGGAGCCATTATGTGCCATTAATGGATCACCATGAGACCCACAAAATTTCAAATGGAAGTCCAAAGGTTAGTAATGGCAAGTGTGTACTAATTTTAATGCCTCCTATAGTACAATCCGAAAGGGGGAAGGGGGGGCGGGAAAAAGCAAAAGAAAAAAAGAAAAAGGAAAAGAACAAAGTCTGGGCAAAAACAAAAAGCAAAAGTGAGCGCAAATGAAAACCACACCGACCACGTCACCGTAACGAACGAACTTATTCGTCGATGACTTGTAAAGTGGATGAACGTCGTCGGGCGGAGACCACGAGGTGTCGTAACACACCTCGTTTCCTCCGCCCTTGAGAAGTCCCATCTTTTGTTTTACATGTTCTTTCTGGGGTCTATTTTCCTTCACGCTCTTCACGATTTTTTTCTTTTTTTCTTTTTTTCCTTTCTTTTGCGCAGCCATGGTCTCAAACTTCTCAAGGGATGTGGAATATACAAGGGCTTAAGCATTGAGGCTGTTGCTCACCAACTGTTTCTGCGATCCAAGTGATTCAGAAAAAAAAAAAATAGTAATAATAATCATAAAACGGATTCGAAGTGTAGGATTCTCTCTGGAAGTTGATAAAAAAAAAACTGACAGAGCCATGGACCTAACAGCCTCGCGCAACACTGTTCCTAAAAAACCAACGGCATGGAATCAACTGGAGAGTTGATGCATTTCCATGCAGCTTTTATTCCATCGCTTCAAAGAGTTACACACACAGGCTGTTGAACTTGCGACTTTGTTGCCCGGAGTTTGCTGAGGAGTAGCGCACACAGATCGGCACCAGTTCATCCGAAGCGGCCGTGGAAGCGAATTAGCAAAGCCTGGTTGGTTGTCGTGACTCTAGTGTGTTTTTTTACTATGTTCATTCGAGTGTGTGGAGGGGCCGTTGTTGTCGTTGCCGAGATTTTGTCGACGTTATCAGCTTCGGCCCCCGAAAACTCCAACGTGTGGGTGTGTATTCTTGCGAAGAAGAGAATACCGTGTGGGATAGCAGGACAGTCCTCTCTGGCTGCTGCAAGCGAAGGTGTTACGATCAGTTGACTTCGGTGTCGATTGCTGATAGCCTGCCCCGACCAGTACGCCTGGAGGTCTGATGGGTTTGGACTGCATCATCTCCGAAGGTGCACTCGTGGCCGGGCAAGTCAAAGAGCGTGCTGCAGACGCAGTTGGGCGCTCACCAGCTAATCAGGCTCTCTCCAGTTGGATGTGGGGGCTGCAGCCGTATGGTTCAAAAGCTTCAACTTGTCACTGACTTCGGTGGTGAAGCTCTGAAGACACAGAGAGTGGATCCTATGGTAACTCGCATTCAAGACCCCCCCCCCCCTTCACAAACCCACACCCTGTGTGACAGACTATAACTTAGACTCCGAGGACTGGGCCCTGGAACAGGTCCCTTATGTGCAGCAGCACACACCGTAAATAAAACTGTCAATGCAACGGGCGTTAGCATGGACCTAACGCAGAACTCATGTGTGGCTGCGAGTGCATTAAACCTTGTGCGACAGTTTCCTCCTCCCCACCATTATCCATCCACCCTGACTTATTGCAGTAAAAAATTGGCAGAACTGAGCCAGCCTCGGCAGCACTTTCGTCGCTAGCTAGCGTTATGGAAACTCGACACGCAACCTCGATCCTATTAGGGCCTAACAAGAGCAACGTCAGTCTGAGCCATACTTTAAGCTGCAACAGCAACATGACTTAGGATGGATTAAGAGAATAAACAGATGTGGAGGGTGATCTGTTGACTGAGTGAGAGTGAGTGCGAGCCTGCAAGAGGATGAGGATGGAGACGTCTCATCGAGGTATGCAAAAAGTGTGGTGAAACGTTCACGTAAGCGAGATTCGGGACGCAGGATCTGATCGTCTGGCAAGTGGTATCAGAGGGCCCGCACAGGTCCACCTCCAATCATATGTACAGGGAGCAAGGGATCAGGGAGATCCTAGTGCCGCCAGGACTGCCCCTGACACTACAATATTTGCCTCATTTATGTGCGGCACTCCACCCCAATGCATCCAAACACCAACACACCCAGCTGAGCTCACATCGTAGTACTCCTCCTCTTGACAGCTGAGAGCCTCCCTTTACTGGTGCCCTCATCTAACTTATTAGGGAGTGTCAAATCCTGGGTTAAGTTATGTGTGTGGATTCAGTTACTCTTCCCCTTCTTTCCTTGTAAAACACTAACACTTCCTTAAATGACTTTGCTAGTCTCTTCTCATGATCAGACCTTCCTTGGAGCCGTTCTGTTCTGTGTGTTTGTGCAATTATATATATATATATATATATATATATAAAAGTGTGTGTGTGTGTTATATACAGATTGTTTCTGAATCTCTATCATGTTTCAAGTAATACCCATGTTGTGTGAAGCGAAGGAACTGTTTGAAAGAAGCAGATGATTGAGTTGTGCAGCAGCAAGAATTGGAATGTTTTTGTAGCAGGCCAGT